CAGTTTTCAAACACTTCGAATGAGGTTGCCTAAAAGGTCATCAAACGAACCCGGAGGTCTGGAAGGTTTCTTTAGAGCCGTAAGCTCGAGACATTTGTACTCAGAGTCGGCCAACAATCATTCTTCTTACCTCTTGTAACTCTCGTTTTCTCTGTGGTCTCAAGACTTCAAAAACTGAGACGTAGAGTGCTAAGATTCTGGGACATCACAATTTTATCTCCAAGAGAAAAAGATAAAAAAAATAGGTTTGATTGCTGGACAAGCACATGTCTAGGAATTTGAGTCAGCCTAAGAATTTTAGGTGTGTGCTATTGTTTCATCAGAGTAGACAAGATAGAGTCTAATTGTTCAGAAATTTTTCATGAATAAAATATATAGATTAAATGTAGTTGCTACGAAAATTTGAATAAATGTTAATAAGGTTGATTCCTATCTTGCTATTTTGTCAAAATATATTTGAGTTTTATTTTGGGCACAATTCAGATTCACAGGCATTTCTATTTCTGTTACACTTAAATGTTTCATTAAAAAACCAAACATGGCGATTTGCCATGAAGATAAGTTTGTCTGTCACCACACACTACCCTTTGTCTAAACTTTAATTAAGTTGTTTGTGCCTAGCCTCGCTGTCTTTGTTCTATGGCCTTCTGAGCGCGAGAACTTTAAAAGCGTTATTCTCCCCAAGCGTGGGTGAATTCACGAAAGGAAATAGTGTAGGTTGTGCCGGACTCTGGCACGAAAACGTGAGTTGCTGTTGCAACAAGGATTTGATCGTCGTCATCGATGAGGAAAATAAGATAAATTGCCCATAGCGAAAACTCTGTTCTTTCGTCTCTATTTTCCTGGTTTTGAAAGCACCTTTTGTCTGCCATACGAATGGTTTCCTTCTCTTCTCAATCCCGGCAAAAAAAAATACACTAAACGACACGATATTGAACGACAGAAAGGAAAGTGAGAAAGTTTTCTTCAGAAGCACGTGTTAGCTATGTGAGTCTTCTTCTCCTGTTGACCTTATTACTGGAACGAACCTTTGCTAGTAAAGTGATTTCTGTTAACGAGATTGATCAGCTTTAGTTCTTGGTTTGATCACTTGTTTGGTCTTTGTAAAAGAAAACTGGCACGTCCATGCCTTCTGCTTAGGCATCGGTTATTTTAGTGTTTTAACTTCCTAGCAGTTCAAAGCGAGGATGTTATAGACACACAGTCTTGTTGTAGGATCTCCGCAGTCTCAAGGTGCAAAAAATTATATCTAATCTGATGATCACGAACAGCTAAGTAAATAGCACATGTGAAAAATAATCAGATATGTCTATTTGTTCTAATTTGTCCATGATTGCGAAATTTTGTTTTTCGAATGAGATTACTGGAAAACAAGCGGAATAACAGATAGAACCATGCGAAGAGGTAAATGACCAAGTTCTCTAAGAGTGCAAATAAGAATTAACTCCTGATGGATCGAGTCCTCAGAAACGGTTGATAAAATTCAACAAAAAAGCCGTGAGAACTATTGTTTTTTCTCTCAAGCTTTGTGAAAGCATTTTTGGGTTGGCTGATCGTTACACTTTCCTTGCATGTTGGCCAAGGAAAAGAAATATGATATATGAATGGAGGTGTCAAGAACCTCGAGTCAATACTCCTCGTTATAGTGCTCTCAGTCCAGTCTGCCTTTTTTGGTGGGATAGTCAATTTAGTCATCAGAGATAATCTTAAAAAACATCCTGCATTCAAGTGCGATCCGGTGTTTAAAAACACCTATTAAAGATAAGACAACTGCGCATCAGCAGAAAAATTTCTTTAGAAGATTGATAACGTCTTGTTTTGTCACAGACCGGATTTTTGTTTAGAAATGCCGCCAGAGAAGATCGAATGTTGCTATTAATATCATCGATGTTGTTTTACCGTTTGAGCGGTTAATAACTTGACGTTGTGGCGGAGTTCTCTACAGCTAAATAAGGGAGATCTTTCTCGAATCTGAAAATTTCTGACATGAGTCGAGAAAGACTGGCCGTCTTCTGTTTCACTCGCATGTCACCCACATTTCGTGATTGGAAATGTCTCGGTTGTTTTTATTCCTATTTTACTTAAAGAAGTATCCTTGTGTTGTTGCACTCGAAGGCGGTTTGTGGAAGGGTTGTAATACTATTGGTGTTAATTCCAAGCCCCTTACTAGAGATTTTGGGAAACTCACACACAACCATACCTCGGTTAGCTTTTTTGAATGTGCCTCTCGTACTTAGATCCTTTTTCCTTATAAAGTGCTTCTCAAAATTTTTGTTGTCATCGACCAGTGGAGCAGCATTTGAGGTGTACACTCAGTTCAAAAGTGTACTTAACTGTTTTTAATGGTTGTCCCGTTTAGTCGAAACGTGGCCTTAAAATCTGAGAAAGGCTGAGAAACGCATAACTGCCATGTGAACTGTTAAATAGCTACTTTTCTTCGAAAGAGATTGAATATATGGGCTTCCGTCACTCCGGTTTTTTTTCTCGTTTTTTAGACTTTAGGATTGTCTTAACCTGCCCGGCCGTCCTCCATGTGTTGAGTGTTGTACTTGTGAGTTCTCATAAATCTGGATCATTTTCTTCAGTTCTCACCGTTTGTTTGGGGTATCACAAGTAACACCTCAAAGAAATTCATCAAGGTGCAAATTTGTCGGGAAAAATGTCTATGTTCAATCAGTGTAAATCTGGCTCTTAATTTCAATTTTGTTTCCTTTAAGGTTTTCTCAGACTTCTGTAGAGTTTTTCCCATTCAGCAAACTGTTTGTAAATTTGAAGACTTTATTTTTTGTTTGTATACACTTATGATTCCTCTTGCTATAAACTCGATTTGCATTTGCTGATAAGTCGTCATATGGACTTGTATAATCCTTTGGAAATACATTTCATGACAGACAGTACAGAATAAAGAAGGGTAGGTTTCTTAAAGAAAACTGTGGTGCTGCGTCGGTGAAAGAGCATAACAATGTAATTTCGTGTTACCAAATCAGTTGATGATGTAAATTGGCCACCGTAAAGAAATTCATACTCTTTGAAATTCTTTAAGGTGGCCAATTTACGTAATCAACTCGGTTGATAATACTAAATTACACAGTTAAGAAAAAGTACGTAATCAGAGACTGAGAAAACCGACAGCATGATCAATTTGTGAAAAAAAAAAACAATTAAAATTTGAGACATCAGATTAAAAACTAGATTGAGCCGTACAGTAGAAAGATATGTCTTTAACTAATGAATGCAAATAGCTCGAGCAAGTTTGTTTAATTGGTGCTGTGCTCCGACAGCTCGTTCAAGTTCTCTCTCGACTGTGAATGAGGCATTTAATGGATGACTAGGCCACAAACACCCTTGTTTGAGACACTAACATAAGATTTTCTCGATGTAATGCTCCATAAACCCTCTAAGTCACATCGCGTTATACAACATGGCACTCAGTCCAATTTGGAGGTCACGGTTTGTGAACATCGCCAAAAATTTAGACTAAAAATATTCAGTATTTTCTCTTGCAATCCGTCGTTTTCTTTCGCATCCTTAAATGTAGCTTTCATTTATCCAGCTTCCATGTCGCCTATTTGCTTCTCTGTCTCACCCTAGTCGAAGATAATTTTGCATTGTTTTAAGACAGCTCGAAATTTGTTTTTGTTTTTGCATTTTGCTCCACAAAATCTGCGGAAAGAAGAATAATGTAAGAACCAACGATCCTCGTGGAACCATTAACTTTTGATAGTTCAGTTAGTGTTGAACACACACCACAACGAGAATTGTTTTGATGAGATGAGCTATTGAATAGCTTGCAATCTATTTTTATCCAAGTACACGTGCCAGAGACAGAACGTATAAAAAGCCGATGTAAGGATTTAAAAATCAACTAAACTTTGCACCAATATTAAGAGTAGGCCCTTATGATGGTGAATCAGCTATATTGACTAGTACTGGCTACGATTGTAGGACAGAAAGTTCTTTATTTCAGAAATTCATGCTTCGTTTCCTACGCGGGTTCATCAAGGAAAGTAGAGATTTAAAAGCAATAAAACGCATGGGTCGCTCCTTTATGTCCTGTTGTGTGAAATTATTAGAGAGGAATGTAATTAAAATTAATTGACGTATTTATTCTCCGATTGACTTTGCCATAACCAAAACAGTGGGGCGATCAAGAGGAACAGAAAAATAACACGAACAATATTTTATTGAATCTAGAATGTAACTTTTCCAACGGAATGAAATATATCCTTCTTTAGTCGTAGGCGCTTTTGTTTGGCTTTTTCTTCTCAAATAGACTAGAGTTAAGAAAAACAGCGCTAATTTAAAATAGGTCACCAATACCCTCCTCTAAGTCTCTGCAGAGGCCAAACATGGACTCCTACTGCAAAACAAAACATTCCTTGAAGACGTAGCTTTAAATTCCTTTTTACATGTCTGATTGTTTTTAGAAATTTTCAGGTGTTTTTTGTAGCAACTGTTAAGGTCCTTTGGCAGCCTTTAACCCTTCACTGTTTTGGACTAATCTCCCAAGTTTCTTACAAGTAGCTGCCGGCCAAGACTTAACTTAGGAAAAGCAACTAGTTAATAGGGATTGAAAACGGCTCTTTGAAACCACGAGGAATTTTGGAAAGTTCATTTTAATCGGCACCCTGCAATCTTCTCGCCTTTAAGTTCTTTGAGGAGGTTTAACTTTATTATTATCAGTTTTAAGGAAGCAAATGATGCATACTACTCACAAAAGGTTTGCGACAGGAGTTAAACAGTACCGGAAAGTATCAAGATCATACGAGATAGTTTAACTAAGGAGTAAGGTAAAGGCTCCCCTATCTCAAAGGATGCAGGGTTCTTCAAATCGATTAGATACAATTCTTTCTTGTATGATAGACTGGATAAGGAAGCAGGATAATTCATTAGCTTTCGGCACACTCAGCTTGATGACTATGATCAGATGCTCTCGAATATTGATACCAACATTACATATGGAACTGCTTTTACATAAACGCTTCTCCTTTTCTTTCCAGATCCGTTGTACGATGTATTTTTCCCTTCAAAAGCCCGAAGTCCATTTATAGAAGTTTGCGCATGACTGCTTGGACAACAAACAACAAGATGCTGAGAGATAACAGCGCTTTGACTTTTATGTCCACCAAAAACTTTTGGTAAGTTTTTTTCCCTTTCATTTTCTTCTTGTCAGACGGCTAATAGCCATGCGGTCTTAAAAAGATTCGCACTGGTGTTTGGTTCACTAGCGACATCACATCGAATATTGTTAATTATTGAAAAAGATCGATTTTGAAACGTCTCGTTCTAACAAAAGTTACGTGTTCTTGCGTCACACACGAAATATCAATGTCTAGACAAAGATTAAATCACTGATATCTATCAATCGTGCTTTGGCTCGACAACACATACTGTGTTGTCAGCTACGAAACATTCCCGAAAACTGGGCGTGGATTATGTTGGAAATTTTTAAACTCGTCGCTTCCTTTTACTGGAATTAAACAATCAGTTCAGTTATGCATAAGAACGTCACTCTAATTTCAAAATATACACCTGATGTAAATTTTATTGCATGTAATTTGAGCCAGAGATAATAAATCGATCGACGACAATTTTAATGTCTCGTAACCTTTCTAGTATTAAGACCAAACCAGTTCAACTTGAAAAAATTTTCGGCATGATTGGTTGGGAAAAATGAACAATTTTTTTTTTAAATTGTTAATATGGCTCTATGTAGGACCGACGTTAATCTTCAACCTCATGCGTAGTTTCTTAAACACTTGTCACCGAGTCATGGTAATTGTTTTCTGAGTATAAATTCAAATAAATTTTTAAGTTGTTTTCTCATGCTTGACTGACTGCTGATTGTGTCAATACAAAGCTTTATTTGAACATTTTGAATGACCTATTTGGAGGCTGGATTACCTGTTTCAAATTCTCGTTCTTTATTAAGCATTGAGATAGAATTTACAAGCAGGTTGTAGTTTAATTTTCTGTTCAACAATTGTAGTAGAAGTTGAAAAAATTCACTGAAATGAGCAAACGTTCATGCAAAAGATTCATAATGGTATTTCAAGCTATGCTTTTAGATTTTCAGTAATATGCCTCTTCCATAATTAACATCCTTTGCGTCCATGCAAATAAGCCTTGCTGGCCTCGCGTTTGACTGAAATTTTTTTTCTATATATTGTCGGGGTAAGAGAGGCTAACTTCCATGCATGATTATAAAAGAAAGATAATGAGACCCGCTATTTATGAAAGAGATCTAGGCAAGCTGACTTTTTCCGAAGAAAACCTGCTTTGAGTTATGGCAATTGAGCTTGGAAAAATTATTTTAGAAAAGCATTAGCTCGATCATCAAACTTAACAAGCAAACGCTGTAATTTAAGATTATGATAAAGATGTGCCAGTCAGTTGTGAAAAAACTTTTTACAGAAAAATGTACGGAATTAACACTGGGGGCACGGAAAGATCTTTGGTTCCCTCTGCTTTTGATTAGAGTTCTTTTCGCGCTATAGAGGTAACTGCGTCAGGAGACAGTTTACCAAAGAGTAAATTAATTTATATTACATTGATTGCATAGTCTTTTAAACAAGAGCAGCTTCAAGCAATGCTGAAGCTTCTGTCAAATCAATTTTTTGCATCTGCTGTTTGATTGCATTTTAACTTCAGCGTTTTGCATTTGCTTGTTTTACTTGATATGGACTGAAATAATTCCTTTGTCGACCCCTGGTCAACACTCTAATGGGCGATGGTTCTCAATCAATGAAAAAGATAGACGCTTCTATTAAACTTTAAATCCGAAAATTTCATTACAGTCTCTTAACTTCATAACCTCTTCCTCTTAACTTTTTTTTTTATCTTTCTCTAATTATCTGGATTCTCTAATTATCTGGATTATTCGATGAATAAGAAAACAATGGAATTGACCAAACCGACCCATAAAAAGAAAGCAATTTGAGACAAAAACAGCTGAATGCACTTTCCTTCATGTCAAGTTCAGCGTGCTATGAAGCAAGCCAACGAGGATTCATTGTCTGTCTCATCTTACAGACAGTTTGCTTTCGACGGACACGCGAAAACCGTCAAAACTCAAGTGGAGCAAAAAAATTTCATTAAAGCTTCCGAAAGCAAAAATCATTTTGGCGTCCATTGTTCTAAAATCTGATTTTCTGTTGCTATGACTCGGTAATGCCTGAAAAAGACTCGTGTGACGTCGACTGTCTGCGCTACTGAAGAGATTTTTTTTAACGTCGCTTTTTTGAAAAACCAAAACTTTGTAATTCCCGAAATGTGAATTCTGTTTCCTTCTAACGCTCATTTTGACAACGTCAGAAAATTCCAGTCGATGAGAATAAAAATGTTCACAAATCCGATTTGACGGGTGGAACTGTTGTATGCCACTTTACGCCGGATCACGCCGCTAGCTGCTCAAGCTGACAAACAAAGACGGACGGTTCTGGTGCGATGCATGACATTCAACGGAAGTTCAGCAAAATTGGGCGTTTCGAATGAAAGATGTGGTTTTTTGTCTTTGGAAGAATTTCTTTTCAAATCTTTGAACGCAAAAATAAACGGTAAAGGGCAAAGGTCAAAAATTTATACCCATGCCATCTGGCTTTAGCCCTTGACCGCCATAATGGAATGGGGAGGTTGACGTGAGCCGGTCTAGAAAAAAACCGTCAAGCTCCTCACTCACATGGTGCGGCGAGACCAATTAATTTACAATTTAGTTTTCTGTTCCAAGAGTAGGCAGACTATCGATCATTTCACGACGCTTTTCGTTTATTGTAGCGCGGCTGATAAATGTATGTAGTTTTAGACAAGATGTGTTGAGCAACTGTTATCGTCGTTCGTTCTTTTTTTTTGTACGTTCTCCTTTACGTCAACCGTCGTGGTTTCCTTATTAAAAAAGTGAGTGGAATCTAAAGTTATTTTTACAGGTTAATCTCACGCCCTTACTCCCAAGCGACGCTATTGTTATTTGACTGCAAACTTCAAGTGTTCATCAAACATTTTTTAATGTATTATTGAGTTTCTTAGACTTTGAGACTTCACGTGATCAATTCCCTTGGCAATGTCTCCAGAAAGACGTTTATAATGACGTGTTTTCAGCGACAGTCAGTACATTTTTCTGTATAAAAATTTCCGACGACTGACTCGCACTTCTTTATCGCAATCTGAGATGAAAGGGTTTGTTTGGTAAGTTTAATAATCGAGCCAATGCGTTTTTCAAACAATTCTTTCCAAGCTCAACTACCATAACTAAAAGTAGGGTTTCAACTGAAAAAGTAAACTTTTCTAGATCTCTTTCATAAATAGCGGGCCTCATTATCTTTCTTTTTAATTCATGAAGGCTGGCCTCTTTTTCCTCGAAATCATGTAGGAAAACAATTTCAGTCAAAAGCGAGGCCAGCAATGCTTATTTGCATGGACGTAAAAGGATTTTAATAATGGAAGATTTATATTACTGAAAACCTACAAGAGTATCTTGAAATACCATCAATCTTCTTCATGAACGGTTGCTCATTTCATTGATTTTTTTTTTCAACTTACATTCCGATTGTTGAACAGAAACCTACAACCCTCTGGCTTGTAACCGTCGGTATATGCCGGGGAGCTCATTCACATAAATACTTTACTGAAATTAACTTATTTCTTCTGTTTCAGCATAGCTGTCTTTGGCATTGTCCTTTTCATAGGTTCTTGTGAAAGCATAAAAAAAGGTAAGTTTCATTACACTATAAGTTTTGCCAAGAAATTCGCATAGATAGATAACGTTTATTCCCGGACCAGCGTAGGTGAAAAAGTGAGCACATGTCTTTGGGCCAGTGCAAAACCGAAGTTAGGTGAAAATCGCAGGATACCTTGTAGGTTACAATACACTGAAAGAGGTCCAAGAGAAATCTACTCACGCTTGGTAGTGTGAGTTCACATTGATTGAACTGAGGTGAGAAGTCGTATATTCTAACGCACTTTGACCACATTCTCATCTTTGTGCGACAGGTAAAAATTTCCTTTTCCTCAGCACATAGCAAGAAAAAACTTGTCGATGTATTTGTAGAGAGCCACTAAGGTGGATTTTGATGTTAGAACTGAGGGATTTTCGTTTGGTGTTTTATGGTTTCAGCCCAAAAAAAAATTCGGCGAGATATTCAGAACGTTTAAGGTTATCGTTTTATTTTTTCCTGTTAGAAATTTGGCTGTTAGCTATCAGTCCCTTAAGTTGACATATTCACGGATTACCGCCTTCTGCCCTTCCGCTGTCTTTAAAAAACACCCTGTTCATATTTATTTGCGGCGAAATTCTACACTAGTCGTCTGAGCAACTGGTTTCTAAGAACAGCAACTGTTTCAGCTTTGGAGACAAAAAAACAATAGGGAAAGATAAGAGAATTGTAGAGTAAAAGCTCTTTTGTTTGTGGCTGAATAACGAAATTAAAAGGGAAATTGCAATTTTTTAAAGCTAGTGAGATGAAAACAAGCTTTAATTATCCAACCATTTAAACGTACCTTTATTCACAGAAGCTATCTGTGCTATCGTGAATCTTTGTCGGGAAAGAGTAGCATTGTCCTCAATGTTGGAATCATTTCCTAATTACTTAGTCCCAAGTTAAAAATTGCGACTAAATTGCTTTATGTTTCAGAGACGGTTTTATATTCGTGTTGAAATTGTATACAATGGCCTTTCTAAAGAGTTTTCCCTACCGTTGATTTATCTTGTCAGTTGCTGAAAATATTGTATTGTCTGTCGTAAACTTTTCAAATAGATTATCTGTTAACTTCCCCCGCCTCGTTATCTCCCCTTTGTGTGACTAATAATGCTAAGTACTCAGTAGGCGTAAATTTTTTGGGCTTATCTCATGAGGTATGATTAGCGAGTGAGCAACTAATGATAGATCACTGATTTAAATAGTCGTATGCTTGACCTTACGTAAGTTACCGCAAAAGCCCTTAACAAGGCTCGTACCTTACATCGCATGCACGCTTCTTTTAGTTCGATAGATATCATTATCTCCATTTTGGAAAAGATACTAACCGAAAATAAACTGAGAAAAAGATGGTGGAGGTAAAGTAACCTATGACTACTTAAGTTTATCCCAGATGTCTGTAACACGAAGTGATACGTGGTATGTCTATCTACCCCCCTGGATGGGATGATAGTTCATTGCAAGTCAACCCCTCGCATTTCGTTAGGTTTTTGTGTCAGTTTGCAGGTACTCATTTGCAATCCTTGCTGGAGAGAGGTCAACTGAAAATATGATGATTCGCCCGAGAACACAACACATCAACCCGGAGAGGTCATGAACTGAGACCCCTCGAACGAAATTCCATGCACCAATTTTCAAATTACCAGGGCGAAAAAAACAGCTCATTTTGCAGAAAAATTCATGCAATAATGGAACTAACAGTGACCTTTAAAAGATCTCGCTCCCTGAGTGAATATCTTTTCATCTCACCACCAACACGGTATCGCCCTGATCCCGGCTTCACTTGTTACCTAAGAAATTGCCCTCTTACTTAAAATTCTCCCGCTAAGAATAACTCCTATGTGACTACCGATAAAATAAAATCCTTATCTCTTTACTAAATCTTAATCTTCTTAGGATATAGCTTGGAATTTATCGAAAGCCGATTAGTTCGAGACAAAAATCGACTACATTTAGATATTTTGAGACACTAACGAGGACTAATTGACTTAAGCTTGTGGTTTTTTTTTGATTGTCGGCAATTAAGGATGCAAGGCCGTTGTGACTAAATATACTGTTATTTTATTATCATTACTAGAGCGGCTAAATTTGGGGCTAAGGCTAAACGTTTTTATTTTCTGGCGATTTTAAGCCTGATAACGTCCTTAACATTTTTTTAAAGCTGTGTGGTATAGTATTTCAATAAATCGATTATGAGCGACTGCAAACTGAGTTGTTCTTCAGTATATTGTGCAATAAGAAACATCATTGTTGCAATCAAAAATGTCCTTAGGTAGTTGAGTTAATAGTCCTGTTAGTCCAGAGTTTTACATTGTTTTCAACATTTGTTTATACTTCTCCCAAAAAAGGCAAAATAGAGACGCTATTAACTGACTCTCGGCCTGGGTGTGCTCTTACTATGTTCTTAAAATTTTGGTTTATCTCAGCCTGAACATTTTTCTAAATTATGTTCTTATGAAAAATGAGTGTAGCTTTTTCTTTAACATATTTTTGTTTGTTTTTAACAATACATACGTGTTATTTTTTCTATTTGAGGGTTTTCATTTCTTGTAAGTTATTGTTTGACTGCTAGTTGTCGCTGTGTTATAGATTTTAAGTAAACATACATTAAATGATGAATCTTAATAGTCAAATTGCATGTAGAATTAGCAAACTTTTCGCTACATACTTGTGTTTTTTGTTGTGGTGAAACATCTATGAAGCAAATGTGTTCAACCTAGGACGGTAAACTAGCATATCTATTTGGAAAATGAAAAAGCCTAAATTTTTGGTCGGGATGCTCGAGGTAATAGTTATGAAGCTTTTCAAAGCAAAAAACTTCTCTCCAATAATTTAACGAAACCAAAAATCTTATGCCAAAATGAAAACCTGCATAGTTTGCGCTTAAAATTTTAGATGTTGATCTCCTAACATAATTGAGATAGCACACGTTTATACTTGCATGGGATTTGTCCTACCCCTGCCCCCAGAGGTCTTGTTTTCTCTCTTTCCCCCCCCC